GTTCAGCCATGACTATTTCAATTTGACTGAATAACAAGTACAGAACTGTGGGTCTAAGACTGATCTTCCAAAACGACATTAACGTTGCACAACGACTTGAACGAGCATTGATTCAAGAGTGGAATGGACTACCACTCTGTGCTTAGTATTTATCCAGCATATACCAATAAAAATAGACATAGATCTAGACATATAAAAATATTTCAAGAAGTGTGTATTACCTTTTATTTCTTCACCATGTCTCATATGTTTACACAGTGTCAAGCAAAAATAACTGTACAGAACCAAAGACTGCATGCTCATTGACTGCGGGTCATCTAATATAGTGTAAAGCGCATAGAGCTTGCTGTAGAGCGGGGATATGCGCTATACAAATGCTATCTATTATTATTATTATTATTATTATTATTATCTAGAAAAATAGTGTTGAAGACATCGTATATGTTCCACCACTACCAGAAATTATATCAATGACTAGAAAGATCGAATTGCTACAATCAATACGGTGGACCGAAACATCATGAGGCGCTTCTAGGAGGAATTCTCATATAATTATATTGATATATATCGGCTTGATGTTGTCCGTGCTGCCGGTGGTGGCCACCTTGAGCACTAAATTGTAAAACATGAAATTAAAACTTGAAGGTCGATAGGCCTACATAAAACATGTATCCAAGCTGGAGTTTACTATTGTTTTTCGTTTTTGAAATATAGTGTGATGATTTTGGCGTATTATTTTAGAATGACCCTGTATACAGCGGCAAAAGAAGCTTTCCACTTGAAGAGAAGCCTGTACTGTGCTTATTATTCAGTATATAACAACAAAATTAGACACAGACATTATATCAAAATATTTCAAGAAGTGTATTACCTTTTGTTTCTTCATCATGTCTCATTTGGTGGCACAGTGTTAAGCAAAAACTGGTACCCCTTGATTTCAAAATTTCACGTCAGTAGTGGGTATAGTCGCCCCTTGCAACGATACAAGCTTAGCATGTTCTGCACATTGATCAAGTCCGTTTTTTTTTCTTCTTTTTTTATTTTTAAACATGTATTAATTGTTGTGGCAGTCCATTTCACTCTTGAATCAATACTTATTGAAGTCGTTGTGCAACGTTAATGTTGTTTTGGGGGCTCTCTCTTACACCCACAGGGTGACATATCGTCACCAGGTTTGCTATCCGCTTATGTAACAACATTTTTTTAAAACTCCGCTCTTAAGGCATTTTACCTATATTCTAAGCACAATCTCAAAAATTAGTTTACTTTGCATCAATAATTCATAACAACTTAAATATAAAATGTAAAAATCAAGACGCTAAGAAGCACATTAGATTAATATAATAAACAAATGGTTTTTTGTTCACATTTTCTGGAAAGTATCTGAATGCTCCATAAGCAAATAGCGAAATGCACTGGCGATATGTGGCGAGCATAAGGCTGGCAAAACATTCCCATTTTGCTGCTGTAGACACAGGCAATGAATGGGCGCCCATTGTGATGCTGGAATGTGTGCACACGTCTTTGGGTTTGAAAGAAGGGAACCACCTACGACCGGAGAACATTCTGGTACTCGTTGGCGTCCACTGCAGCGTTGAAAATGTGTGGCTAGGTTCTGTGGTTGGAAGATATTGTACCCCACGCCATCACATGGCCACTGCCCCATTTATCTATTTCATGCATGCAGCAGCCTGCCAATCTCTCTCTCTCTCTCTCTCTCTCTCTCGCTCTCTCTCTCTCTTCCCTTTATGGTGTCTCCAAACTCTCCGAGAAGTGGAAAGAGAGCACGTTGGTCAATCTAGGGCCGCCTTGCTCGATGTCAGAATGAGTTTTATGTTTAACGCCGTTGTATCCTTTTTTTTCTCTGATAACTCTTCCGTTGTCTGCAAAAAATTGACGTGCACAGATGGTCGTTGTGAGAAAGTGATCTCGAAGATTCCAGAGCAGTCTGTCTTCTAGGGCAGTATCGACCTGTGGTCTGCCCGGTCTGGTTCTGTCAGGTGTAACTCCAGTGACTAAGAACCAATCTTTCAGTTTCAGGATATTGAAGGTAGGATGGGAGCAATGAAGCACCCGCGCCACTCTACGGGCCGATAGTACGGCTTGCAGTACCGGTATTCAAATTGCCCAAAAGCACTCCTCGGGGCTTAACCTTGGCATATTGTACAGCATCAAAAACCAGCTGGAATGTGTATGATCCGGTAACTTGTTATTTCGGTTCTAGAAATCGCTTATGTGTTGATCTAAACCCAATTTAGACTATTTCATAATTTCAGCGAAACTTAAGTTACAAAATACAAAGTGGAAAGTTTCTACATATTTAACTTAGGTCTCTTGCATGCAGAAGTGAAGTGCCTTATAACTGCTACACCACAGATTCTGGTTTTTCCTATTTCTAACACATTTCTGTCAGTTGTACTACTGTAGACAACTTCTTCCTCCAAAGCAAGCCAATGAGCATTTTAATACAATTGAAGACCAAAACAACCCCCAAAAAGCAACAACAACAACAAAAAAACCCCACTAAAAGAACGAAATGTTATTGGATAAACTTTATTTAGTTTCTATTTTTGTCATGTTCAGAGTTACAGAGGTTCTATTTCTACAGGATCCACCATGTTCACAAACATGTCTTGTGGTCACAAAGTAAGAGAAATCAGAGCTGTCACAAAGGGGGAAACTATTCTATCAATTACACACCAGCAGGGCTGCCACCCGGAACAAGAAAGATTCCTACAACTTACTGGACTGTAAGAAAAATTAAAAGATGACAATACATTCATCATTCATACAGACATACGTAAACTCATACGGAACAGGAAATAAAAGATCTAAAAATATCTTGTATTTCCAAAAATTTGAGGAAATGCCAGGAAAAGCAACACTCTGACCATATTATCGCCGTCACAAGCAATCCACTTCAGTTCAGTCCAAATTTGGAGAATTTGAGATTTTTACACCTTCCCAAAGTTCTGTAAAGGACGCACCTTTCAACATCACAAAAATGCGGTTTAAAGCGATGGTCAAGGCTTACAATTTTCTTGTTTTGCATGATTCCTAACAAGAACAACACAACAAAAACTAACTTAAGTCTCTGGTGTAAAAGTACCCAAATGAACTTAAGTGGATTACTTGTAACATTTATAATATGAAAGGTAGTGTTCAAAACCATCGGATCAGACAACAAAAAGCAAAAGTATCACGTCTTTGTATCAATGCTCGGTAATTCTTGCGTTACCTACTAGAAAAAAAAAAAGAAGCAATAAACATCTTTTTTGCCAACATGCACAAGTTATTCTTCCATTTGCGGGATCAGAAGAAAAATTGTGGCGTCGGTGGCCTAGTGGTTAGGCTCTCGGACTCGCAACCGTAAGGTCGTGGGTTCGAATCCCGTCGAGGGCCCGACGTTGTGTCCTTGGGAAAGACACTTTACACGAATTTTCCTCACTTCACCCAGGTGGGAATGGGTACCCGGCTATAGACAGCGAAAGATCTTGTCAGTTTGTTAGTGTTTGAGCGCTTAATCGGCTGCTTGCACTGTATGCTTCCCGGGAAGCTGAGAATGTTTCGGAGTGTTCTATGGTCTGCTGGGGTAATAATATAGTGTAAAGCGCATAGAGCCTGCTGTTGAGCGGGGATATGCGCTATACAAATGCTATCTATTATTATTATTATTAAAAATCTTGACACGGAAAAACATGGGGTGTGGGTGTTACAATTTAATGCCTAACAAGACACAAAGCTACTAAAAGTAGAACACTAGGCTCTAGGTTATGGCACAAAGCTTGTCGGAATCTTTGAGAAAGAAAAGAGATAAATTCTCAACCCTCTCAGGTATATACCTCAACCCTGCAATATCAACTAACACAGCCAGTATAACAATCTAACATGTAAAACAAATAATAATCTTTAACATCGAATACACCATCAACCTGATCATCCTCATGTGAACACAAGGAAGGAATGTAAAAGTGCATTTAAAACTTATAGTACCGTGTATAACAAACAGGCAATAACTAACTTAGGAAGATCACTATTGGAGGCAGTGGTAAACTAACAAAGGGCAGACACAAAACAAAATGGAAGGATTTCAGCCATAGCTAACCTTTTCTTCAAAACTGGTATTTCAGTACTTATATACGAGCTCTCCCCCAGACAAAATACAACCACAAAACCATTTTTAATATCACCAGTGACAGTCACAGGCCTGTATAAACACAGGGGTAAAATGTTAAGCATTGTGGATTATAGAAGACTAATAGAAAGTCAAATGGAACAGTTGTCAGACTGGTCTGGCGGTAGACCGTCAAGTAGAACAGAAACATTGAAGTAAATCATCAAGTGAACCTGAACTGAACAAAAAATATATCCACTGTTGAGATGGAGCAGAGCTTCCAACTTCTCCTTTTCCTCTTTCTACTATTACTACCAGAATATGTTACAATGAGAGACACACTTTGCTTCAATTATGAAGCTGTAAAGAAGAGGTTATAAGGGGTTATATGAAGAAGTTATACTGAAGAACTGACATATTCACCATAAAATATATGGTCACAATGGAATGTGGATTTCCGTTCAACACAAAGATCACATATATATTATAAATATATATATATATAGAGAGAGAGAGAGAGAGAGAGAGATCTATATAAAACTTTTCCAGAAAAAAAATATTCCACTTGGCTGCAGATATTGTGACAATGAATGAAGTACACAAGTCACATGGTTAGCTATGAAAATTTGTATTCCCCAAAGGCAGTAATAGAGCTTTCAACATTTCCAAAAACAAATGCTTGTATGTGAGTAGAATTCATCATTACCTTTTAAACATTCAGATCATTTCAGAAATCAACCATCACCAATCAAGGGATGAACTCGGTTCAAACATTAGGACACTGCAACTTAAATAAAATTACAATTGAGGAAATATTTTTTATTTTTCAACAGAGCAGGAGGCGATTCTCATCCATTTCCCAAGACTGCCAAAAACCATTCACATCTTTTTCTTTTCAAAACAAAATTGTAATCTTAACACCCAGACAGCAATGCAACGTACATGTGTCACAGTACGGTGGAATCGGGCGCTCATAAATTTCTGAGCATAAAATTAAACCCTGTTTTTTTTTTTTTTTTGAGCTTGTTGAAAAAAGAAATTGATTTATGTTGCATAAAAGTTGAGATGTAGATTTATGATTAAAGAAAGTGGGGGTTACTGATGTAACAGGTGAAATTGGCAAGAAAATGGCTGCCAAAGGTTGGTGATTTTTGCATTTGCCCTATAAAATAACATATTTTTGGTTTTGAACATTCTTCAATAAGATTCACCCTAGAATGTGTTCTTTAATGGATGGAGGTTTCTGAGCTAAAAAGTAAAAAAAAAAATTTTTTTTAGATACAAACCTCCAACAGTCGGAAAAATACTGATTTATCCATTCCCTAAAATTTGACGAGCCCCTGATTCCACCGCAATGACCCACATAGTAAAAACTGGGGGAAACCCTATGTTCCTCCCAACAAGCACAGAACATATTGGGAGAACACAGTTGGTTCACTTTATTTTTTTCTATTGTGTTCTCTTACATATATATAATGTATATATATGCAAGCACCATACAACTTTAAAGGTGTCAGCATGTTGCTATGCAACTGAAACAAACAAACAAACAAACAAGTTCATAAATGGACTGAAGGTTAGGCTTCAGAAATAAGTTTCACTAAGTTGAAATAAATACCCCTTAGATTTTGTCCAAAGAAAAGAGGACTTCCTCTGTACACAAACAAATGCGTAGGCCTACAGAGACAAAAGTCTTGAACAAAATTTGAAAGAAAAAAAAAAGTAACTAGAAAATCTGAGATTGTCAATCAATCAAACCCACCAAATTGAAGACATATTATGTGAGAGCAGTTATAAAGAAGTCTTCCCTGCGGTCTCGGGCCATGTGTATACAGGAGGAATGTAGGACACATAGTCTGTGTCGTAGATCATCTCATCCAGGAAAGCCTTGATGTTGCTTGGCTGAGGGTACCTGAAGGCCAAGTTATTCTTGTAGGCAAAAGCAATGATGTCCTCTGCCAGTTTGAGGGACACACAGCGGATGTCGCTTAGTGGAGGATACACACGGCCCTCATCCAAGTTCCCTTTGGTCACCATGCGGGCTAACGACTGCAGAAATAATAATAATAGTAATAATAGATTGCATTTACGTAGCGCTCTATCCCATACTAGTATAGCTCTGAGTGCTTTACACCAATTACATGATCATTCACACAAGGGACAATATTTCACGGAAACAAGAAAAACCAGTTCCAGCACATAAAGAAGAATTTTCACAAATATACATTAACTATATGAAAGGACAGCAATAAAAAACAAAACATATCAGCACTTACTTACTCTAACACTTTATAATTAAGAAATGAGTCTTGAGCAATCGTTTAAATGTTTTGTTATTTCTCTGATATCCTGGGGCAAAGTGTTCCAAATTTTAGGGACTTTTCTCACCAAAAGACCGTATTTTATTCTAGGCGCTTTAAATTTTGTTGCATCTATGAATGACCGTAACTGATGAGATGGAACATTCAGAGTTAAAAGCTCAGATAGATATGACGGGACTTTATCATTAAGATATTTATCAGATGGTAGAAACTTTATACTGGATTCTTTTATCAACTAAAAGCCAATGCAGAGCTTTTAACATTTTTGATGCAGGATTTTTCTTCTTTTTCTTTAGCGCTAGTCTTGCGGTGTTATTTTGGGCTACTTGCAATTTCCTCATTCGTTCACACAAATTACTAGACAGAACAGAATTACAGCAGTCAAGAAATAAAGATGACCCAAGGTCAAAAGATGCGTATTAGAACACCTTAATATAAAACTAAATAAGAGAAAAGAAAACATTTTTCCGCAAAGTCCAAAGTATTCATATAAACTAAACACCAAAAAGAAAAAGATTAAGAGCAAAGAAAAAAAAAGACAAAACGGAGAGAACCAGCAATAAATTTTAAATTTTGAACAACAGCTTTTCGGGAAGTTATTATTAATTTTTTTTTCTTTAATGTATGTATCTTACAACCCAACCCCATTGGAACAATTTAGATCATGACACAGGCTTTGACCTTGCCTGTCTGAGCCAACCTGGCCTGAGAGGGATACAACATCCCTCAGAAAATCAAAGATGATCTATAAAAATTCTTCCAACACTGGATTCGAATGTGTGTTGATGGCAAAGCACCTGATCTCTACAACACAGATATCAGACTTTAATGGGTGGAAGTGAAACTGATCACATGCAACACATACAAGCCCAGCGCATGAAATTCAGTTTGAAACATAAAGGAAGAGAAGTGTGGGGTCTTCAGCCGCAAGCCCTTTCCTGACGTTCGTCGTCTACATCATTTGCCCTTTCTCCACTTGTTCCCCTCTAGCTCTGTTTCCTTGAGTACACAATTATTCATTAATTTGGATTGGGTGCCACTTAATGTCATAACCACCTGCCACGTAGTGTACAGAAATTGAGAAGTGTCAGTGAAGTAATATAATACAGTGGAGTCCCCTTAAACCCAAAAACTGCTGTAAACAAAAGAAAACAGTCCCCAATTTTTTCCCTTCTATTTGAGCAACCTCTTTACATTGTAACCCTGGTTAAAGGGAAGAAAATCTGGCAGACTCTACTGTATTTCTTTTCCATGAACTTTAAAATTTAGTAAATGTGATATGTCATTATCAAACAACTGGGAAATGTGCTTAGTACAGATAAACCTGATTCCACACGATGAATGTACCATTTTTGGGAAGGTCAAAAGTGTGTTAAGTTCATCTTTTTTTCTTTTCTTTTTTACCAAAAATAAATGACAGGGTGTTGCATCCACCTTGGACAATTTCCTGGCCACCGCACTCACTTGCTATTTTTACTCTAGATTTATCTAATTTTACCTCCCAAAGACAAACTGAAAAAAACCCCAACATAACCAGCATCCATAAAAGATACAAAAAAGTTAGCTCCTTTGATAAACTTTAAAAACAAAAAAAGCAGGAAGAAGGATGAATTCATTGTGAATTGGACGAGTAAGTACAGAGGGCTCGGATACACCAACATGGATGAAAAAGCTGTAATAAATTATATACTTTGAAAAGACTTGTTTTTTCTCCCTTAGTGGGTTTAAAAAAAAAAAAAACCTGTTTAGTTAAAATTTTCAAAGGCAGCTAGCGAAAGTAAAGAAGAATGGATAAATAAGAAAAGAAGGCAAAGACAACAGAATACACTAAAGAAAACATCACATACAATACACCAAAAGAAAACATCACACATGCAGATATCCAAGCAAAGCTGTTCATGTTTTGTCCCCCTCTACTGAACAGTTGCACCTCCTGGTGACTTGCTTTGGGACTATTTGACTACCCCCAGCAGGCACATGTAGAGCTAAGACTTACTCACACAGCCAATGTGATAATTTTAGATTGTGAGTTAAGATCATTAGCAAAGATAAAATGATCTGTCCTGAAAACCACCTTTTTTCCCCCGTCAATCAGGAATCACTTGAATCACAACATTTTGAATCTATTTAATATTTTTCTAGCCCTTTTTTTCTATCTCTTCCTGAAAACAAATTTAAACAGAGCAGATAAAACCATAAAATGCACTGTTGCCCTTCATACCATAAAAGATATATTTTCCTGAAAGAGGAAAGTAACTTGCAACCAAGAGGAGAATAATGGTCATAAGTTCATTGCTATGAATCCAAGAATGACATTTTCTTCTACACGACATTCTCAACACCCTTGACTAGAGAGTCATTATTTTTTTCAGAGGTGAGGAACGCAACAAAGAAAAATCAAGACAACAAATGGCCATGCAATTGCAAAAAGTAGGCTTTAGAAAATGAACAAAATACTCTGGTACTGAGGCTTGGCCATGGAACTAAGTAAAAGCAACAATAAAGAACAAAAATCAAGTAACAAAAAAACAAAGGAACAAAATGTTCATGCATACCTCTGCAGCTGCCAGAAAAATGTCTTCAGTCACATAGCGAATGTCAGCAGCAATGATTGCAAGAGCAAGACCAGGGAAAATGTAGGCATTGTTACCTTGGCCAGGGTAGAATGTCTTTCCTTTGTACTGAACAGATCGGAAAGGACTGCCACTGGCAAACACTGCTCTACCCTGGGGATGTCATAGAAGAGGATAATCATTTTTTATTTCTGATTCTTTAAAGGGCATGCATCTTTGGGTAACATGCTTCTTTCGGTATAGCCTAAACAAGGTTGTTTTTCTTTAAAATATCAGTTTAACTCTTTATCTCCAAGGGGGGTAAACCCACTACGCTGGACTCTTTTTTGGTAATAAACTTAAAAATGACATCACTAAATGGGTAATTAAATCAAAACAAGTGAACTTATTTCGATAATTTTTCATCTAAAGAAGAACCTCAGGTTAAAGAGACCTGTTTTTGGCAATGGTCAAAAAGTGATTTGATGTTGAAATAGTTGTAAAGGAATGTGCCCTGCCGGCTCAACGGCACATCGTTTCCAACCACGAGTTGCTGGTAGCAGCTTGCCGGAGATACAGCAAAGAAAATTGAACAGTATGGAGACTGAACACTTAGTTCAGTGGTAAAAAGAGAACACCTCTTAATGGTGTGTAGAGGGTCTATTTGTTACTCTCAAACCACTGATATGGTGGGGGAGGAAGGGGGGGGGGGGTACTGCCGAACTAATGTTAGTATAACTTAATAGGATTTGTTAATGGAGCACCAAAAAAAATGTCCACCAAAGTAAAAGCATCTGGATATTTAATAGAATAAGAGCAGAGTCAGGAAGTCAAGTTATACACTGATGGCAAAATATGTAACAACAGACTTCCTGCTCCTATGTTATATTGTGAATCATGTACTGGTACGCAAACTGATTCTGTCAATGATTTTTTCAGGCTCAGGACAGAATAATTTTTCCCTGTTCAGTTTTAGACCTGGGGTGCATCTATATAATGCATTTCTGTGAAGCTGTAAGTTACTCTAATATGTATTGTCATGTACCAAACTTATGGGAATCAATAGAAGATTCTGTTTATATTAATAACATATAATCTGTTTGTATTGCATTTTCCTTCAGACAAAAACGAATGAGAAAAAAAAATTGCGCAATAGCTCTTCGAAATTTTCGACTTACCACATTTTCTCAGCTCTACAAGTCCTTATAATCCAGAGGAATCAACACAAAATTGTAGCGATATCACCTTAGCACACATTTAAGCAAGAATTTCACAAATTTAGTTGAATATCTTTCTTTGAAGGGCCTTTTTATTATACCAGGCTTCATGTTGTTTACCCTTAGATCTAGCCTACATAGCAACAACAAAACAACGATTTTTGCAAGAATTTCGCGGAGTTTCGATCGATATTGCCGCTCAGAGATTGAGGTCAGGTTTGTTTACAAGTTCTACTTCCTTTCGGCAACTTAAAAAGTAGGAACTATGTTTAAAAGTGCACATTTTTTTCGGATTTCATTGAGCCGGTCACAGCGGTCGAATGGATGCAGCGGAAAAACTCAGAGCCGCTGTCAGCGGCCGAATGGACGGAATCAGTTAAATAGATAGGAACTGTATTTAAGTCTAAACAAACTTTTAATTAATCAAAAAGATAAAATTTACATATATATATGAGGACTTATATGTCATGCTGTCACAAGTTTCATAAATAATTAGATCCAGTATCATCTTCCTGATACTTTTCCATAACATTCTAAACTCAGAGATACAAAGGGCACTCTATTAGCTCAGTGGATATCATACTGGATTACAGAGCTGATGGCTCTGGTTTGAATCCAAGATTGAGTGTGTTCTTAAACTCAGGTTGCTTTGTGGAATTTTCAAGACCTTCAACCCATTTGGCTCCGTCCTATTGGGGGCATGTTAAATTCAGAGGTCTCACTTCTTAAATAACTTAATAATGTTGATAGGGGAAGTAAACATATGAGACAACTTAAAATCTTATTGCATCTATTGAAAACATTCAGAAGCATTGGCAGCCCTTACATCAGTGGCTCTGTAGGCCTCTTCAGCTGTGCACTCAGCTTTGCTAGTGGGGTTGCTCAGAGCAAAGATGATGGGGCGGTCATTGATTTTGCCCATGTCTGTGAGGATCTTCTCATTGAAAGCTCCTGGCACTGCAGCTGCCCCTGTGGATTAAAATATTTTTGTTTTTGTTGAGCTGACATTCTGGTAGTAAACACAATGCAAGTCTTTTCAAATGCCATCGAGTCTTCAGTTCGTTGTACAACATAGGGCTGAGATGACAACATCTGAGGAAAAGAGGGGAACTTCCCATCCCACTTACAAAAATATCTTTTAAGTTCTGGCTACTGGCCAAGTCTGCAATAATGGCTCCATTCCACTAACCAGCCTGTTAGTGGGGCATGTAAAGGCTATACAAGAACATTATTAAGAAAACACTAGAGCCTTGCAGAATCAGAAGGGAAACGAAAAAAAAATGAATTTTAAAAAAAAAAAATTGGGGGGGGGGAGGGGGTAAGTATTTTACGGCACTCGCAACAGCATAAGGTCATGTGAGAGCGTGGGACACATTAAACATTTTTAGTCGGTAGGAAATTTTGAATTTGGCTCGGGTGGCGGCCGAAGCCTACTCTCATCGATAGAAAAAAAAGAATACAAATATAATATGTCAGAGATAAAGAAACTTACGGTGCATGTCTTGCCAAGCAGTTATGCTGTCAGATTTTGGGATCATGAAGTCATGAATTATATAGTTGAAGCCCGAGGCAGGTGTTTTACCAGATCATCTGTACAACTTACAATACATGCATACTGACAACCGGCAGGGGGGGGGGGGGGGCACCAAACTAACCCATATGGGCTCATTCAACTACTCATAAAACTACATTCAGGACCCAGACTGTACTGTAAAACAATTACAATGTCGAGGTCACAAATTTGGTTGGCAGGAGGAATGGGATTAAAAACATTCTCGCTCTCATGGACACAATTAAGATCACATCAGAAGCAGGCTATTTGATCCCTTCCTCTCAGAGTAAACTCAGGTAGGGTCAGATACAATTAAAAGAAAAGAGAAGACATTCCCCAAAAAATGTTCTTCACTCTCTCTATACATATACAAGTGGGGAATGAAATTTGCATCCTATGTCAGCAAGACAAAGATCCTAACCATTATAGCCCAGATGTGGCTGCGGAGGAAAGTACTGACCTATTATAGCTGTAGGCTTTATAGCCGTGACGATATCCTCCAGCTTGTCAACAGGTGCATGCTTCTTGGCAAACAGCAGCTTTTCTCCAGTGACACCTCCTTTGGGTCGGTCCTTCATGAAAGCAGAGTATTTTCAACTCGGTCAGTTTTAATTGAAGGATAATGTGAGAAAATAGAAAAATCTTTCAAGTAACATATAATACAAACAGATGGGAATGGAATATAACAGTTAGATTATAAGATACACAATATGTAATAATATTATTTAAGGATCCAGATAAAAAGTAAACCAGCAATGTTCCAAGCCTCTGACATGAAAGGTGATTTCCCTTGAATTGTTGAAGATTGTTATTATTGCTGTTTCACACCCGAGGTGTATAAAAAGGCCGGCATTATAGGAAACAATTTGAAAGACAAATTACTCACTCTACTCAAAAGTATATATATACAGCCAGAGAATCAACAAAACATTTGGAAGAGAAATATTTTTTTCTGAATCTTAAACTGTCCAGTGCACATATAGGAAGATTTAAAAATTTATTTATTTATTTGTTTGTTTGTTTGTTTGCTTATTCATTTGTTCGTTTGTTTGTTTATTTATCTATTTATTTATTACTTTTTTA